ACTCCACCAAATTCCCCCATTCCATCTTTAATGACCATGACTTAGAAAGACAGAACGTTACTGTTTTATTCTTCCCACATTCCACTTCCAGTCTTTTTCTGACCCTTCTCTGCAGCAAGCATGAATTAAATAGCAAGCTGTCCCAGGCAAGGGCCCTGCATTATTTATCTGTGCTGTTTGGAGCCTAACGCGGTGGGTGCTGAACGAGGTGAGGAGCAGAGGTCACGCTCACACACAGATACACAAACACACGTGTTATCCTTTCCCACAGCTGAATATTTCTGAGGAGAAAGTTAATAAAGTCAGAGCAAGCTCTTGGTTTTCAGATACACGTTACCTTTTTGTTATTACTCAAGGCTTGCAATTAAATGAGAACTACTAAGCCTCCCATGTCTTAAAAAAATAATGTTGGTTTTTATGTTAGAGAACGGCAGGATAACACAGGATTTCATTTTAGGTATGATAACATTACGGAGTCACAAAAAGAAGCATCAGAATATCAGCTCGGAAGAACTATTTCAGCTATGGCAGTGATGAGGGGCTTACCGCGACTGCCCAGAGTTTGCAATAAATAAATTTCATCTCATTTTAATCTTGGATAAGCTTTTATATGAAGGTTTGCTAAATTATTTTTCAGCTAGTATGAAGATGATGTAGGTCACAGAAATGCAGCCAGCCGAGCTGTAATCCAATCGTTCTGGAGCTCCAGATAGCACAGTGAGAGCAGCAGTTCTGCTGCCCTGGCACTTAACCCACACTTCAGTGCTGGCCGGGGAGTTCTGGGGGCCGGAGCCCAACTGGGGCTGTGGGAGCCTTTACTTCAGGGCTGCAGGCATAGCAGGGTATGGGCCTGAGAGGAATTCAAGAGCCACAAGTGCAGAGACTGCATACAACAAACAATCCCGTGGAAGAAGTGGTTCTGTTTTCAGGGGTAAGTCGCCACTTAATGCACAAATATAGAAGCAGAATCCAAGTTTTTGATCTGATATTCTTACCCACCTTGGCTGGCTGCTTATGGCCCAGTGGATTTTAAAGGCGATGGATGCAATTTAGGTCATGCTGAAGCCTCAGCGAGAAGAAATTCTGAAAGATTCGCCTTCGGTGTGCAATAAAGTAAAAAGAAGAAAATTCAGAGATGAGCACGGTTGTTCGTTCAACAAAGAACAGCCTCGTGAAAGCACTGAGGAACAAGATCAATGAACTGAAAGACAACAAATGAGATGAGGAAGCCCTCAGCTGTGAAGGGATAGATGTGTTCTCCAACGAGAAGGAACGAGGCAGTTCACGTAAGTGGGTACAGCTCTGAAGGCATATTCTATTTTTTGCCCAAGGATCTCAATTTTTCATTTTATGCTGAAATAAGCCACGTTGCTTTCTGCTGAAGGGGGTTTTGCTTTCAACTCTGTGCTTTCTTGGAGTCCTGATTTTCCACCACGCTGCACCATCTGCTCATTGCTCACACTGCTGCGGAGCGGAAGGGAGCAGAGCCTGCAGTGTTGTCCCCACTGAGAACCCAAATGTTGGGCTGTGGGGAAATCCCACTGAGGAAATGCTCTTCGTTTTCCTGTTCTCTTCCAGGTTCCCCTTAGTTTGGAGCAAACAGATATTCTGCTCCTTTCTACATCAGCCTCGCTGGACATATGCAATCCTGGAGGCTAAAAAACTGACCAGAACACTGACCTTAAACAGGAGCCAAGCAGAAGCTAAAACCTCTTTGCTCTTCATCTGCTGGCAGATCACAAAGCTCAGTCCTGCAACTGTGACAGAGCTTTCTGGAGCACATTGCCATGGACATGTGCAATAGGTCCTGGATGCTGGGCATGCTGGAAAATGCAGTATTGCTCAACTTAGATTCAATGCTTCCAATAATTAGAGGTATGCTGGTTTTTGTTTGTTTTATATTGGAATATTCCAAGCACTGGGAGAAGCACCATTTAAAATAATGATAAACAAACAACTGCTGTAAAGGAAACCATGGGGAGAGAGTGCCATGCCTGGGATAATCCCTGATCTGATTTCATGCCATTTTTTAAGATGCCAAAACTGCAGTGCTCAGCAGCAGCCTCCTTTGTGTAGACACAGCAAACCTGGAGAACAGAAGACATAGAATCTTAGAATCATAGAATCACAGAATGACCTGGGTTGCAAAGGACCACAATGATCATCTCATTTCAACCCCCTGCTGTGTGCAGGTCACCAACCAGCAGCCCAGGCTGCCCAGAGCCACATCCAGCCTGGCCTCGAATGCCTGCAGGGATGGGGCATCCACAGCCTCCTTGGGCAACCTGTTCCAGTGCCTCACCACCCTCTGGCTGAAAAACTTCCTCCTAATATTCAACCTAAACCTCCCCTGTCTCAATTTAAGACCATTCCCCCTTGTCCTGTCACTATCCACCCTCGTAAACAGCCGTTCCCTCTTTCTGGCTGCTTCAGTCCATTCCCCACCAAATGTAAAAGGGCACCTACAAATACCATTGTTTCAAAGCTGACTTGGATAAATTAAGCACTTGATCACTTTTCAGCTCAAAACTGCTGAACCTAGGCCTACTTATGTATTACAGGCACAAGTTTTGGTGCCAAACCACAGGGAAAGTGTAATATCTAAATATTACTTTACAGCTCAGAGGTAATTCAGTAAATTATGGAACTTTGCTCCCTGTTTTGAGAAAGATCTTGAGCCACCCGAGCAAGGCAGAACCCTCAGATCTGAGGCTGAGTCCTCCTGCAAACAGACCCTTCAGGAAAGCACAGAAAGAGGAGGGAGGATCTTTCGGTGTAGCATGAATAATTGGTGAAGGCAGGCTTTCCAGCCCGTGTTCTCCACACAATGCCATCTTTCTGATTTTGTACCACTGACTGGCTGTTCAGAGCTGCCATATGACACTTGACATGCTTGGATAGGCAGGGGAGCAACATCCCCCAGCCCTGGGCCTTGGGGAGCATCCAGCTGGCCAACGAACCCAGCCAGACTGCAAGAGAAGGTGATGGCTGGGCCAGTTGGCTGAGACCTTAGGGAAGATCAGGCCTGGCAGGTGTCCTGCTCACCTCCCAGCGTGCTGTTAGAAGCAATTAACTTTTTGATAAGGCCATTTCTTTAATGCGTTAATATCTTTGCTGCCACACATCCTACAAAACCTTGGAAACAGGCGTGAGTTTGTTGCCTCCCTTTGTAGGCAGGACATGGAAATCCTGCAGAAAAAGGCTGGGAATCTTGAACGGTAACGTGAGAGATGCTGGAAGGACCAGCAAATGTGAATTTCTGAGCATTTCCTGAACATACATGGAAGCCCAGAACACCAACTTGCTATTTAAGTTGGGTTTTGACACAAAGGTCAGCTTTCAGAAGCACCAAGGCTGACTTCTACAAACAAAAATGTCACTAACAATAAAAAATGCTTTCCTTCAAAAGAATTAAAGACCTGAAGAGCAAAGGCTGCAGTCGGTCTTTGACAGTGCTGACATTTACAGCAGAAAGCAAGCAATTGTCTCCCACCCCAGACGTGAGAGCAGAGAGCAGTATCGCTCATTCCATCAAGTTCTTTCCCACTGCAGAATGATTCACACAAGCCTTGTTAAGCCAGCACAGGGAACTCAGCGTTTATTACTCCAACAATACATTGTGCACAGGAGCAGAGAACAAACAATACCTACATAAAATTACGTGAGAAACGTTGGGGAAGAAAAAAAAAATAAAATTCAAAGCCTTCCAAATGGAGTGCAGTCGCCAAGCCCAGTATGGAGCTCTGGAGGTGTTTCCTGGCTCCTGTGTCTGTGTGTCTGTGCAGGGAGGTGGCCAGCAACACTGTGCACAGCAAAGCAGAGTCATAGAATCATAGAATCACAGAATGGCTGGGGTTGAAAAGGACCACAATGCTCATCTCATTTCAGCCCCCTGCTGTGTGCAGGTCACCAACCAGCAGCCCAGGCTGCCCAGAGCCACATCCAGCCTGGCCTTGAATGCCTGCAGGGATGAGGCATCCACAGCCTCCTTGGGCAACCTGTGCCAGTGCCTCACCACCCTGTGAGTGAAATGCATCCTTTCCCAGGACAGTGAGAGCATCCAGAGGAGCCGCAAAGATGATCAGGGGGCTGCAGCACCTCCCTACAAAGACAGGCTGAGGGAGCTGGGCTTGTCCAGCCTGGAGAAAAGAAGGCTGCGGGGTGACCTCATTGCAGCCTGCAGTACCTAAAGGGAGCCTACAAACAGGAGGGGAATCAACTCTTGGAAAGGGGAGATAACAGCAGGACAAGGGGAAATGGTTTGAAGTTAAGGGACGGCAGATTGAGGTTGGATGTCAGGGGGAAGTTCTTTGCTATGAGAGCGGTGAGGTGCTGGAACAGCTGCCCAGAGAGGCTGTGGATGCCCCATCCATCCCTGGAGGTGTTCAAGGCCAGGTTGGATGGGGCTGTGGGCAGCCTGAGCTACTATGAAATGTGGAGGTTGGTGGCCCTGCGTGTGGCAGGGGGTTGTAGCTTCGCGATCCTCGAGCTCCCTTCCAACCTTGGCCATTCTGTGATTCTGTGACAAGGAGCGGTTCTGCGCACCGTCTCCCGCACTGGCGGTGGGATGGGTCCCTGTGCAGCCCCTCACCGCCCGCTGCGGGCAGGGCAGGGCAGGGCAGGGCATCCCCCTCCCACGAGCTGCGGGTCGCCCTTCCCCGCACCGCCCGGACCCAACGCCAGCGGACCGGAGGGTTTGCGGGGCCGCCCCGCCGCGCCGTGCCCGCACGCATCGGCCTCGGGTTGGGGCCGCCCCGCGGGGCGGGCAGCGCCGGGACCCCCCTCCTTTTCTCTCCCTTCTCCTCCCCTCCCCGCCGTGTGCAGGCGGAGCGCGGAGCGGCGCATGGAGGGGCAGCGCTGAGCCCGGCCATGGAGCAGCACCTGCGGCGGCTGAAGCAGGAGCTGGTAGGGGGCGGCGGGCGGGGGGCGAAGCGGGGACGCGCGGGGCCGGGGGAGCGGCGGGGCCGTCCGCGTCCGGCGGGGCGAGCGGGCGCTTTAAAAAGGAAAAAGGAAAAAGAAGCGGCTGTCAGCGAAGATCGGGAATCAAAGAAGCGTTTGTGGGAGCGTGCGAGAAGAGTAAGTTGGCAGGAATCAAAATGATGCGAAGAAAGCGTGCGGTTGTCAGCCGTCAGACGTTTGGAAAAATACCTCTTCTTCAATAGGAAAGCCTTTGTCGTAAATCAGCGCTGTTTTCTCGCTCGGATTCGGATTGTAACCTCGCTGCTAGAACTTGCTGGGGCTTGTCTGCGAGCCGGGCATTGTTGGTGCTCGGGGCTTTGCTGGGGATGGAGCAGCGGGATGAACTGCTGCGTTATGGATCGTCTTCGGAGGTTTGTCTGGGGAGCAGTGCAGCGATCCGATAAATAGATAACGAGAACAAAAGGGGAAGACGAGGCAAAGCAGAACGGGTAGGTGAAGTTTCTGGTGTAGGGCTTAACAGAATGGTGATTTCGGATAGAGTTCTGTGACAGAGGCTTACCCACGGTTTTCCTATCCTTCATGAATTACAGGAAGTGTTTCATGTATAAGCAACAGTGCTGAGTCAATAGAGAGACATGCTGAGGTCCACTGGAGCCTCAGCACAGTGTAACCTGGAAGGTCTTTAAAATCTGAGCAAGGTGGATTAAATGAGTAGCATCCAAAAGAGCATGCCTAGAATAACGTCACTAACCCTGCATTTTGTCTTAGCAATACGTACATCTCATTCCCTGAGCAGCATTTTATTAGCCAGAGTATTGTCACTTTAAAAACTTATTTCAGCCAGAAATTCCTATCTTGGTGCTGCCCAGCACAGCCATGTCAGGGTGCTCCAAAAGCACTGCTGTCATCAGCGATGCCAGCAAGCAGTGATTTACTGGAGGTGGGAGGTCTGTATTAATTAAAATAACTGTAAGTGATATCCTCAGCAATAATAGCTTTTAAAAATCAATACTGTCAAGATAGCCTGGAATTAAAATAGATTAATGTTTCTTTAAAGACCGGCAAGCAGGGCAAGAGACAGCTGGGGCCATCTGCGCTCAATGGCAAGTGGGAACGGAGCCTCCTGACCCTGCCTTCCTGCCACTTTCTTCATTACATGGCAGGTCGTGCCTCCAGCCATTAAATGCACCAGAACCAAGATTCATGTGGGAAGGACTCAGTTTGTTTGAGCTGCCAGATAGAGACAACAGCTGCCCCCTGTGCGGCTAAATGGGAGCCTGGTCAGAGAGCATCCAGTTCAGAAGCAGGGATCTGCAGTGTGTGCAGGAGCAGATATGGTCAGGGAGGAGTGGGGCATGGGGGCAGCTGTGCACCTGAGGAGCTGGGCAGCACAAGGCAGAGGTGTGAGGCTTCCTGACCTGCACAAGTTTGCTCCAGTTTCAACCATCACAGCTGTTTGCTGGTTTTGAGAAGGGTTTTTTTTGTTTTTGTTTTTGTGTTTTTTTTATGTTGGCACATCTCCCAGTTCACAAGGAAAGGTTATCTTCCAGTGCAACTCTATCCCCCATCAATGTGGGATTTGAAGATTCCAGCTCTGATAATTATTTTTTGTCCCTGTTTTGTATATTAAGACCGTACTGAAGTGCTTGTGTGCCTGGCTGAGGCTGCTGTGCCTGGATATCCCAGCACAGCTGTGTGCTGAGCTCACCCAGCCCTTTGCCAGACAGGGCACAGAGCAGCATGGGTCCAGGCATGCACACCCAGCCTCAGTGTCAGGCTCTGGGAATGCCCCCCAGGCCTCTCCCAGCAGCTCCTGAAGATAAATTTGGCCCTTTTCAGTTAATGAGAACGCTCATATTCCTATTGCATGTTTTCCATTGTAAGCCGATAGTTTCTGGCATGTGTGGTGTCCCTTTGATTGGAATTCATTCAGAAGCTTCCACTCACAGGCACTGTGAAGCCAGGCACAGCTCAGCTGACACAGCCATTCATCACAGCCACACGTGAGCCTAGCGTGGAGCTGCATCCATTCTTGACACTGTGGCCTCATCCCAGTGCTGGCACCAACCTCAGGAGCAGCTCAGAACCCGCTGGGTCAGCTCACTGCCCCTCAGCCTCTGCACATAAGATACAGAGACTTTGTTCACCTCTCTAGTTTGTAAGGCTGGCATGGAGTACGTCATGCTCTGCCACTCCTTCTGGCATCTGTCCTTCGTATGGCAGTCATGAAACCTGCCACAGCACTTATGCAACTTCCATTAATGCAATTAAACTAAATACCAAAAGACTAGCAGCCAGACTCTGAGTCTGCAAAGATCCTCCTGAGGCACAGAAGTATCTCAGCTTTTTGAGCTGCTGAGTGTTATCTCACTAGTAATGTATGAGCATTTAGCTGGGCATCACCAACCAGCTGAGCACAGGGAAGGACGCCGGAGTCTGGATGTCCTACTTAGCAGCAATAGGATGGGAGGTGATGGCCTCAAGTTGTGCCAGGAGAGGTTCAGATTGGTCATTAGGAAACATTTCTTCTTAGAAAGAGTGGTGATGCATTGGAACAGGCTGCCCTGGGAGGTGGAGTCACCAAGAAAAGGCTGGGTGTCACACCAGCATGGTCTACAGCAGTCACAGGCATGGTCTGGTGGTTGCACTCAATGGTTTTTAGTGCTCTTTCCAACCTTCACATGTCTAAAGGTGCCCCACCTGTGTCTGCAGTGCTTGGGTGAGGCTCTGCAGGGCTGCTCATGTGTTCTGTCTGCAAGTGTTCACCTCTTCCTGTGGCACCAGGTGCTCTGTCAGTTCCTCCAGTTCAGCTTGCTTCTAAACTGATCTCAGTGCTGCAGCTGGTTGGGCTTTCCAACTGTTCTTCTTAGTATTTCCTCTCCCAGCAAATAAATTCTCTACACAGAAGGCTGTGGGCATCAGGCTTTCTGAGGTCCCGTGTTTCAAGCTGAGTGCCGCAGTTGATATGGCACGCAAGGAAGAGATGCCATCAGTGGGACCTGGATGAACTCGGAAGGTGAGTCCATGTGAACTTAATGAGGTTCAACAGAGCCAAGTGTGGAGTTGCACTTGGGCCAGGACCATCAGGTGTGGGTACAGACTGGAAGAATTCCTTGAGAGCAGCTCTGCTGAGGGATCCTGGTAGATGGAAAACTGAACTGGAGCCAGCAGTGTGTGCTTGCAGCCCTTCCAGAATTTCATCTGCACGTCTCATGCTGCAGATGGCCTTACCTCTGTAAACTTAATGACACAGAGATTGTCTGCATTTATACATAGTAACATCAGCGTAGTACAATGGGGTTGGGATTTCTAGGCTCCTCCACAATCAGAAGAATAAATCACTTGTTATTTCTGGCTAGGGGCTGCTATGTCCATGGGGCAGATTTGTCTTGCCTTTGGGGTTTGTGTGGCTGTTGAGTGAGGGCTCACAGTCAAGTTGGCCAGAGCTGCAGCTTGGATCTGAGCACCTTCATCTTTCTTGGCTTTCTGTTGTGGTTTTTTTTTGTTTGTTTGTTTGTTTTTGAGTTTTTGGGGTTTTTTTTGTGGTTTTGGTAGATATTTAAAACAAACAACAACAAAAAAAACCTTCTGACTTGAACTTCTGAATGTCCTCATTGCGCTTGCTTTATAAATGCATCAAATTATTGAGATTGATGGAGGGTCCAAGTCCCTCCTTGTATTAATGTACATCTTGGGAGACAGAGTTTCTTGCTATGAATATCTTACAGGAATAGAACATTTGTTCTGTATGAAAATTACAGCCAATTATTTTGTACTGTCTCACACTGGGTCCTGTTCTGGTAACTGTCACACTCAGAAAGGATCCTCTGTGCCTTCGTTAGTGCTGTCCTCACCCAAGGTCCAGCAGACCAGGTGTCAGTGATGGGCACCAAGGCCTGGGCTTGTGCAGGGATGTCAGCAGGTAGAATCACAGCATATTTGTGCTGATCAAGAGCTCAGTTCTTGCAGGTTCCATCGCCCCTGGGGGTGGCACCTGGGAGGTTATGGCAGAATCCCTCCTTGGTGTTGCTTTGGAGGAGGGCAGAAAGCTCAGGAGCAGATTTCCCATCATGTGTAACCCTGAGCCTGATCCTCTTATTTCCAGGGAGGACTCCTGAAGATGACTGCATTGGATTCTTGTAGTTTTGAAACCACATCTGCATGTGTTCAGGAATGTTTATGATACCCCAGTGCAGGCAGGCTGCTGGGCTGCAAACTGCCATTACAAATGGCAGTTGCAATTGAACGGAAAGAAGCAGGGTAAGGAGGACAGCTAACTAAGTGCTGTGAACCGTGTCTTCCACGGGTAACATCTGCTTGAGATCTGCTTAACCTCCTGGGAAAACCTTTGGGAAAGTTTCAGCATCCTTCCTTCCTCTTTCAGATGCACGCTCACGGTTTACACCCTAATTTACTCTGGAAGGAAAAGAGGTTAAGATGACTTGAAATCCATGTGAAGAAATTCAAGGACAGGCAGAACACTGCAAGCCATAGCATCCAGAGAGCACAGCTGGAGGGAAGCTCCCTGCACAGTGCAGACCTGAGCTGGGACAGTTCCAGCTTGCAGAAGATTAATCACAGTGACCCGAACAGAAACGGAAACAATGTGATCAGCTCAGCACTTCTAAAATAATTTTGGTCTCCATTAGGTCACCCCCTCTAAATACCAATTGTTTCTGTCTGGTTCTGTTGCCTATCAGCCCTATTATGACAAGCTGCTATTTGCCGTTTGCTCTTTCCTGTTCCTCTCAGGAATAGCTTCCTCCTGTTGCACTGCTTTTACCTCAGAGCCGGACATCTGTCTTCCTCCTCATTACACAGCCATGCTCAGAGCTCTTCCCGGTTCCGCCTCAGCTGTAGCCCTGAGCAGGCAGTGCACAGAGGGACTGAGCAGGCACTCACTGGGATCCTAGAATGGCCTGGGTTGAAAAAGACCACAACGCTCATCTCTTTTCAACCCCCTGCTGTGTGCAGGTCGCCAACCAGCAGCCCAGGCTGCCCAGAGCCACATCCAGCCTGGCCTCAAATGCCTGCAGGGAGGGGGCATCCACAGTCTATTAGATGCCACTAGGAAAAACTTCTTTCCCTGGATGAGTTTAAAAACTTAATTGATCTGTGGGGTGGGAAACAGCTGCAGGAATCTCCCTTCTTCACACATCTGAGGTATTTGGGTTTGAATTTGTTAAAATGCCAGCACCTGTGAAAGGGCTCCTTGGGGCGAGTTGTCATCCTGCAGTGTTAATTAGCCGGGGGAGGTTCATTGATTTATAAATTGTGTAAACCAGTTGTGGCTGCTCTAGGAGTAAAACTCTTCCTTGCCATTTTTTTTTTTTTTTAGGGAAATGTTCTGAAATAATGGATTTTGAGATGCAGTTTGAGGCAATCCAGCTTTAACTGACACATTTGAACGCCCATGAGCTGTCGCAGTTCCCATCTGTCTTTTGTTGGAAGCAGAGGCGAAGCTTTGAAGCCCCTTCCCCTGTGCTCTGGCTGGGATTTGCAGCTCATAGGAGCACGAGGCAGAGCATCTCCTGCTGCCCACAGTGCCCGGGTTACATAAAGCCACTTGCATAACCTCTGTGAGTGCAGGCAGGGGCTCTGTGCCAGATGAGGGTTCTATGGGGTTTGTGCCACACTCACGCTCTGTCTCAAGTTGCACTTAAATTCCTTTCACGCCACATTCGGGCTCTGTGCTCAGCCCTGTGTTCCCAGCACCTCACAGCCAGCATCCTTTCCACTGTGTCACTGCACAGCCTGGCTCATCCAACAGCCCAGGTTGCTTAACCTCACCCCCTGGCCAGCTCTGTGTTCTGGGGGAGGTATTTCTGTTTCCACTGCTTGAAGCCCAAAGACCCGCAGAGTGGGAACTTGGGGAGGTGAGATCTTCTTGGCAGAGGGGAAGGAATGGCTGTTAGGCACGAGGGAAGAAACTTTCCTCCCCAGAGTTCTCTCTCCAGGGTGCGTACTCTTAATTACCGCAGAGTAATTACAAGTGGATGGGATCCAAGGCCCTGCACAATGATCTCCAGTCGGTGACTTCACTTGGGCTGGGTTTCGTTCAGTACTGATCCTACACTGTGAACAGCAGAAGACAGTGCAGGCTTCTGTCGGATTGGGGTTTGTTGTCTTTCCAACTTCCACAACCTGAATCTTCAGCAGTGTTTGCAAGCAGAGTTAAAAGCCTTTGCAATCCTTTTGGTGAAAGTGGGATCAGTTCCTTTTCCCAGGGGGGACACTGCAGCCATCCCCAAAATCAGCATCCAAACCTCAGCATCCTTCAGGGGAGAGCATCTCTGCAGAGGAAAAGAGCTGTGCTGCTTCTCCAGGGGCTCACACTCCTCAGGCTGGCATTGGCTCCTTTGCTCAGGTTCACTTCCCAGCATGAGGGAAGTGCTGGAACGGTGCTCTGGGGCTCAGACCCCATCCTGGGGGGAGGATGAGTCCATCTGTGAGAGACGATCACACGGATGACAAATGCTGCCCATGAAATATTAATGCTTAATAAAGCCTCGCCGGATAAGGCATGCATTGTAATGATGCCACCCATCATGGGGGAGTTAATTGAATCAATGAGGTGAGCAGTGGAGCCGGCCAGCATATGCTGGGGTTTGATCAGCCCAGTCATTACCAAGGACCCTTGTCACTCAGCGCCGCGGTGCCTGCAGGGGATTTGATGAGAGGCAGCCAATGGGGGGCCGGGCCAGCTCCAAATCCAGCTTTTTGCAAAGCCCCAGATAAAACAGACTTCCATTAATAAGGCGAGAAAGGTTAGGACGAGAAGCATTACAGCAAATCTGGAGAGGTAAGGTGATAGTTTCGTCTGAGGCTTGTAGAACATATGGCCTCAGCTTTTGTGCTGGTAACCCGAGAGCTGTAAGTCTGGAAGTGGGGCACTATTTGCATATCTGCAGAAGTAGAGGTTTATTTGCTGGTGTTAAAAAATGAGATAGTTGGGGAATCTGGGCAGTAATTGGGAGGGCGAGAGGTTCTCTGTGTCTTCATGGGCAGCGCATTTGTTCTGAGTGATGACTGTTTCTTGGGAGGGAGGCTTTGAAGAATCAGTGCAGTCTGCTGGCTTGGTTTTGGCTCTGGGTGGTGAAGTGCAGGCAGAGGTTGGTGCTCAGAAACTGGTGTGGAGATTGCTGCTTTTGGACTCGGGTTGTTGCAGGAGGGCAAAGCTTTTGTTGGCTGCTCTGGCATAAAGCTCAGGTCTGGGAAATGGAAATGGAGCAAATAATTGAATTCATTTAAGCAAAAGCGAAGGAGAGGTAAAAAGCTAAAGCTGGAGATGGTGAAGCTGAACAAAAGGCGCAGCTGTCCTTCACCTTAAACTTAAAAGATCTATGGCTACACAGAAAAAAAATGCAGTGAGCCTTTTAAAGGGCTTGTTTCTGGCAGCGTAGGCTAAAGCTTTTCCTAGACAGCGCTAATCTGCTCTGCAAACCACCTTGCATGGATGCGACGTCTGCACCTCCAGCCCCAGCCCCTGCTGCTCTCCCTCTCCTTCCCATCCCCTCCCCAAAGTGGCAGCTGTTGGAAAGTATCGCCCATTTGTTTTATGGCACAGCTTTGGGAATGTGATCCAGATCCCACCTAAAGAGAAAGCAGCGGAGCAAAAGAAGATGGGAATGTAGAAGCTCTGGAAAAAAAAGACTGGAGTTTTGCAAGCATGGGAAGTTAATTCTGTATGGCAAATTTCAGGGATAAAGCAGCAATGCTGCTAATGTTCCTAGCGTGGGAATCAAGGAGGTTGCTGCCTTCCTGGAAATAAGTTTGGATTTTGTTCGATGTTACCTCCAAAATTTCAAGTCCGTCGACATTTCTTTGTCCTCCACTGAGAAGTGCCTGTAACGAGAGAGTTCAGCTCCGAATAGGCATTGTGTAGTGATGTGTGATCCTCACTAGGATTCCGTTTACTGTAGCACTTTGGGTATAGAAACAGTTCTCAGGGGAAGGCGCAGTCTCATTATTCCCACTCCTGATTTCCGTTTGTTCGCTGCACAGCGCAGAGCAAACAAAAGCAGCAGTGAAGGCTCCAGCTGCAGGCAGCCCGGCTGCTCCCAGCCCTGCGCCTTGGGGCTCTGCCAGGCGATTCCTGCCATCTCCAACTATTTGTTTTTGTTGTCAGGTCACAACACCCCCCTTCTTCTGTCAGCTTCTCTTGTTTCCAGAGGGTCTGACTTATTTTTAAACTGTTTCAAATCCCTGGAGAATTTGAGACGTATCCGATGGCCGTTCCGTGCGGTGTTTGGATGAGGGGAGGGGAGGGAGCTCTGCTGCTTTTTGGGGCTCCCAGACACTGACAAGTGCCTGCTTCTTCCCACAGCTGTCCATGAAGGAGGTGGGCGACGGGCTGCACCAGCAGATGAACTGCATGATGGGCGCACTGCAGGAGCTAAAGCTGCTCCAGGTCCAGGCAGCTTTGGAGCAGTTGGAGATCTCGGGGGGCCGAGGCCCCGTCCCTGAGCAGCACCCGCACTGTCAGGGTGGCACAGAGGGGCCGGAGGAGCGGCCACGGAGCCGAGCAGGAGCTGGGGGCTGCAGCCCTTCATCCCTCACCTGCTCTGTGCCACAGCCAGCATTGCCCCGTCCCACCTCACTCCCAGAGAGCGGCCGCCTCGGAGACGCCATCCCCTCTTCTTCCTCCTCTTCCTCCTCCTGCGGCCAGGACAGCTCCCGCTCCAAGGGACCTTCCCCAGCTCCAGCCAGAACAGAGCGCGCACATCCCAGGACGTCTGAGTGCAGCAGCCAAGGCATGGCTGGGGGATGGACTGTGTGTGATGAAAGCCGTGACTGGACATCCTCCCTCATGTCCCAGAGCAGAAACAGGCAGCCCCTGGTCCTGGGAGATAACATCTTCGCCGACCTGGTTGGGAACTGGTTGGACCTGCCAGAGCTGGACAAGAAAGGGGAGAAGGGCGAAGCATCGCTGTCTGCTGGCAGGTCCCAGGAGCTCTGCAGGAAGTTCTCCCTCACAGCCAACATCTTCAAGAAGTTCCTGAGGAGCGTTCGGCCAGACCGGGATCGGCTTCTCAAGGAGAAGCCTTGCTGGCTGCCGCCTGAAGACAAGCAGCCCGAGATTTCTAAGAGACCCAAAAAGACAAACAAACTCAAGGGGACATTTTACTTCCCTCTTCATGGGAACATCCAGAACCATCACAGCAAAGCGGAGAGGTGCCCGAAAGTGGAAAGCCATATGGAGAAACCTAAAATGGGCACCAAGAAAGTCCGTGATACTGTAGACTACACCCAGTCCGGGTTTGATATCAATACAGCTGTTTGGGTCTGAGTTGGTCGATGGCTTCCCCAAGCATCTTCCAAACCAGAGACTGAGGCCATGCGCTGTGCCCTGCCAGGACCGAGCAGGCAGAGCTCCCCATGGAGTGAGCTGTGGCTTTGGCCATCAGCACATGGCATCTCTGCTGGCTCAGCCCCTTGAAAGCCCTCAGGAGCTGTTTGTGAAAACCATCAGCTTCTTTGGCAGCTTTTGGGGTGAGCCAGCTCCCAGAGCCTGCCTCACTGACAGCAGATTCAGGTCACCTCTGGTTGAAACAGCGGCAGGACAAAGTTCACTGTGTGCGTGTGTGTGTGTATGAGTGTGCAAATATACATATAATTTTTTAAGAAAAATCTTCTCCTGCTTGCATGCACTTAAAACTGGGTTCTGAGCCTGACAATTTCAACAGTGATGACCCCAAAGGACTTCTTTGAAAGGAAGGAAAATTCTGAATTCAGAAGACAGCCGTGCTCAGACAGTCGCCCACTGCAGGTGTTGGATCCCAGCTCTGCTGCGTTTCAGCTGGTTTTTCCACCCAGGCTGCATCTCTGCTGTACCTGCAGCACTCTCCTTCCCCTGCAGACAGAGCAGCAGGATGAGATCCGTGCTCAGAGAGCTGTGACATTGGCCCATTTCAGCAGCTTTGCCTCTTTCCCCACACTCTTCTCCCAGGGGTCACATGGAGACACAACACAACGTTGCCACGGATGTTGCTTGTTATCATTGCACTGTGACACAGTTTTGCAAGAGACCTTTGTTATCCTTTTGTTTCTTATGCTGTGGTGTACAAACCCTGTCCTGAAAGAACCAAGTTCTTCAGCGTCCCGCTCTCCAAGAGCAACCAATAAAGCAGCATCATCCCTACACGGAGCGCTCCGTGTCGTGGTTTCAGTGTCCAAACCGTGCATGTCAGCCTCAGCCCCCAGACCCAAACCCCAGCATGGAGGCTGAGGTCAGGCGTGTGTCTGCAGGCCCCATCCCACTGGAGACACGTCCTGAGGGCTCAGCACACAGCTGAGTTCTGTGGTGTTGGGTTGCAAAAACCTGTTCTGCTCATTCCAATTTAAGAATGGGAGCAGCAGTGTTTGGTTTTTCAAACGTGCAACTCTTCCAGCCTCCCTGGACACACAGGCCGGTGGAGGAGAGGCATGGAGAGAGAAATATTTTCTCCCCTCAGCAATTAAATATAGGCACAAGGCAAGCCCTGCTTCTGCCCATACAAGGAGAGAAGAGCGGGTCAGCATCTGCCAGCGCTGCTCAGCGCTTTTTCAGGAACCTGAGTTGCAAGCAGCTTTTGTTTTCCTTCCTCACGGGCTTTAGGTCTGATTGTTTTGTCTCACATTTCTCTGAATGCTGAAAAGCTGTTTTTGCAGTGTTTTATTTATCAGCAATCCATCCTGTTTATTACATATGCTCCCCCCAGTCCCCACCGGTCCTTTCCCACCAGCAAAGAGAAGGAGCTTTCTATAAGCAGCAGCAACACCAAACAGCAGAATGCAGCACAACAGCTCTTTCCAGAACCAAGAACCAAATTCCCCCCTTTCCCTGGCTGTGCAGGCAGCTGACCCCATGCCCAGCACTGCTCCTGCTGCCCGTGTGCCCTCTCTGACCCCTGAGTGTACCTCCAAAGGGTATTTTGCATTGTAGGATTTTCTGGGGTGTTTACAGTGACAAGCTGAGCGTGATCCAGGCTTCAAACAGCTGCTTGAAAATCGTGAGACAATGTAGTTGCATCTCCACATTCTTGGGAGAAAAAAAATATGTATTTAATTAATATTCCTTAAGAGGCATTCAGACAATAAGGACTATCAGCAGAGCCAGACGCCCGACCCCTTTTTGTCTCCAGAGCAGGATTTGCTAATAGATGTGGGGAGGATTTGTGAATTACCATTTCACTTCTCCAGGGACTTTTCCTGAAATGATAATGGCTTTTTCTCCTCTTTTTTCATGAAACTGCCATGAAATAGTTCCCCGTTATTAAGTATGAGACCTACCTAATTAGTACGATGACAGTCTTTAATGAGGTCCTGGCCATGTTCTGCATCTTTGATAGGTGCGATTAATACCAAACCCTGTGCAATAATTACAGAACCACCTTCCCCCATGAACCTGCCCTGTGGAAGGCAGCACTTGAAAATGAACCTCAGGAGTTTGGATTTATTAGAAATCTCAATTCTTGGGGCGTGCGAAGCCCAGAGAGAATCAGATGTGCTGAAGTTAATTTGACACCAATAACATTCATTCAGACACGGAGGGGTTAATGAGGCAGTGTGAAAGATGGTCCTGTGCTCGCTGGTGGCAGCAGCAGCACTGCTCAGCACTGCCCACTGATGCCCACTGATGCCCATTGCTGCCCAGCACTGCCCATTTTGTAGAGTCATAGAATCATAGAACAGCCTGGGTTGAAAAGGACCACAATCATCATCTCATTTCAACCCCCTGCTGTGTGCAGGTCGCCAACCAGCAGCCCAGGCTGCCCAGAGCCACATCCAGCCTGGCCTTGAATGCCTGCAGGGATGGAGCATCCACAGCCTCCTTGGGCAACCTGTTCTGCCCATTTCTGCCCATTGCTGCCCATCACTGCTCATTAATGCCCATTGCTGCTCAGCAACTCCCATCATTGCCCATTGCTGCCTGTGCCATGGGCCCAGGGCAGTGCTGTGTCTGTCCCATAGCACTGTGTGCAGAGCTCTGGGTTCTCCCATCTGGTGCCCTGATTCCCAGGGCTGCTCCTCACTCTGCCTCCATGCTCTCCCATCCCAGGCAGCACGGATGCTCGCAGCGTGCTTCCCTCAGTCAGATGGCCTCCAGAAGGCTCACAAATGTGCCTGTAATTAAAAAGCCTCTGTTTTCAAGAGCATTTCACAGCTTGTTGTCTGACAAGAGGGTGGGCTGACGCTGGGCAAGAGGAAGGCAAACACAGGCATTGCCTTCTTGCTCCCCCCATTGCTCCTGGTGGTCCCACTGCTGCACTGCTGTGTCCCACTAACCAGAAGGGCTCCTGTGTGCAGATAAACTTAACAATTTCCCCTCAGTTCCCCTCATATTGAGTCTGGTATGAGGAAAGAAACCAACTGTCACATCCGTATCCTTCACAGCCCAGTGCTGCTCTGTTCACTCCAACACGTTCCCCACCACCTTCATTGAGTTGTTGACCATCAGCAGAATCCCTTCTCCCCCTCTAAGCTCCCAAGAACTGAACCACGCTTTAACACCCGTGTCTCTGCAGATGAGGATATGTTTATCTTCCCTTTTGTTTATTGTACCCACGTGGCATTTCTAATCAAGTACTGAGCCCTCTCCAGCTGGCGGGCAGCCTGGGCTGCTCTCACAGAACACATACAAACCACTTTCTGGCACCGATTTCCCTCAGCTGGGAGCTGTGCCATCCCTGCTCAGCTGCAGGGGATGGGGTTTTGCCCTTGGATTTAACCTGGGAATGGCCCTTTTGCCCACTCCTGTCCCTTCCTGCAGCTTTTGTGGTTCTCTGCCCTGCTGTGAGAAACACCTGCTCAGGTTTCTCGGCCTTCACCGAGCTGGAGAGCAGAAAGGAGAAATCAATCCCCAAGCAGAAAAGCAGAGGCTGAAGGGCAGCTCGGAACCACAACTCCCAGTGCTGTGTGTGCCGGACCCCAGCGTGGGCACCGCTCCCATTAGCAGCCATGTGAGATGGGTCCTGCCAGGGGCCTCCCTGTGCTCACACCACCGGGTTGGTGCTGGCGGGTGACATTTGGAACCCTGAGCTAACGAACGTGACGTGCTGTCACTTTTAATTAGTCCCTTTGCTCTGCTTGTGACAGGTGAAAGCTGGAGCCGGAGCCCTGGAGGATGCGTGGAGAGGGGAGTGCAAGGAGGGGACTCAACTGTGCACAGCAGAGCAGTGCCTTCCTTCTCCAAAGGGCCGCTCCATCCCACAGCACTATTTCTGTCCCCTCCAGTCTATAGCAACCTGCAGGGTCTGAAGGCACAGAGCACTGTGTGCCTCAGGAGGAGCACTGCAGAATGCTTTCACATCTGCTCCAGACAGAGGACGTTGCAGCAGCCCCGTCTGAAGGCAGAATCGAGGTCCCAGGTCACTCCCAGCTCAATGACAGAGCGTTGGCTGCCGTGATGGCAGTGGTGCTGTGCAGCTGCAGCTCTCCCCGCTGCCTGCACCAGCCCTCCCCATCCTCCTCTTTTCATTCCGTTCCAGCCCGATTACAGAGAGCTTGCACCCGGAGGCAGCTCACCAGGCGTTTATGCATGCAGCTGCCTGAGCTGAATGCACGCATGTTAATGTGTGGAAATGAGTCGGGGCCACTTTTGTACCAAGTTTTCTGCTCCCTGGATCGAGCCCACCAGGTCTTCTGGGCCAAAAAGAATTCAGGAGAGGACCTCTGCGCTTGCTGCTCACCCTGTCTCTTAACATTGCCCACATACCAGTGCTGCTGTTGGGCAGATAGCAGAGCTTCTCACAAAAGCAGCGCCTTGCTTTGTTGTGCACGTCCCTCTATTTCCCTTTGCTCAGCTGCTGCTGCTCCATGACTCCTCAAGCTTGTGGGGAAGGCCATCACCCCCCAACCCTGCAGCCCGAGTGACCACTGCCACCCAGATGAGCAGCCAGCATGCAGCTCAGAGCGGTGCAGAAGCCAACTGCTGCCAGGCCCTGCCTGCGACTGCTGCTCCTGTGCCACGCACTGCTGCTGAGCAGCTGCTCTGCCCCTGCTGTCCATGCTTTGGTCTCCTGGGACCAACCTGTCATTGCTGCAGCATGTCAAAGGTATGCTTCCCCATATCTCTACCAGAGAGGATTATGTTCCCAGCGGGGGCTCGGGTTCTTTCTTTTTTGCCATCGTGTGATTTAATGTGACAACTGTAATTTGATGTGACGCGTCTTCGCAACAATTCGCTACCTCGGAAAATCACAAACAAGCTTAAAATAAGAGCAGAATGCGTGGACTCTCATCTCCCTGTGTGCTGCAGCTGGAAAAATAAGCACCGGCTTGAGGACTTCTCTGTGCTTCCTTTGGGAGAGAGCGAAGTCATGGACACGATGCTGTAAAATAATAATGTGGATCCCAGCCCTGCAGTGAGAGCTGTCTGGCCAGATGCCTGCACCTTCCCAGAGCCTGTTGGAGTTCAGAACTGCCGTGTAGGAGCAGAGATCTTTGTGTATCTCCTAATGGGCTGAGGCTTCAGTCCCTGCCCTGAAACGAGCAGGATTAGGACAAAACAGACTCGTAGCACTCAGCATCCTATGCCATCGAGCTGAAAGAGAGCAAAGTAAACCTACAGTGGCTTTGGAATTGAAGATGTCCATTTACTGAGCCCTCTGGTTCCAAACCATTATGCTGACACTAATTAATCCTGGCATACCCACTAATTGGCTGTCCCAGTGGTTCCTAAGGTAGAGGTGAGGAGCTCTGCACTGGGACAGCCCCAGTCCTGGGGATGGGGATGGGAAGAAGGGGCTGCAGCTGTGGGCAGGGAAGCAGTGAAGAGTTTCCAGCACTGCTGGGCTTTGCCCTCTCTGCAGTGCTATGAGATGTGGACACGATGGGTAAATCCCCATGTCAGCACAGTGCAGGCAGCCAGTGGCCAAACCGCGCTCCCCTATGGGATCCCCAGTGCTGACCCCATGGAATCCCACACCATTGCAGCAGAGCTGGGCACGGCCCCACACGGTGCCCCCACCCCTCCTTGTGCACAGACAGTGAGGAGAGGATTAAAGCTGTCTGCAGGCAGGAGAACACCAACACCACTGCGCTCACCTAATTACGTTATTTGACAGGATACCCTCTCACTGATTGTAATTACTCATATAATTTGGGAAGCAATTCGCAGTCCATCGCTGCAGGATGCGCGGATCTCGGCTGGGAACAATG